CAAATATAATTATAAAATTATATTTATACAATTTATGCTTATTACAAAAATGATAGATTTATTTGAAGATAATGACTTCAAATAAATGTAATGATATTTCCCCTTTTATCAATAAAAATAATTTTTCTCAATATAAAGTGAGTGTTGTATTGTTATTGTTGCGAAGACTTATAAGTCTTATATATGCTATGCACTCCATAGATATCAAAGAAAGTCCATAAAAAAAGGTTATATCAAAGCCTAGATATTACAATAGCCAATGATGTTATTCCATTTTGAGTCTGAAGGCCTGAAAATCAGATGTACCAATGGCAGGAGAAAAATCAACATTTGAAACAGGCAGAGAATGAACTCAGTCTTTCTCTGTGTTTTTATTTCACTCAGGCCCACAGTGGACAGAATGATGCACACGCACATTGTAGATGGCTGATGACTTATTTATCCTACCAAACCAAATAACAAGCACTTTCAACAAAGAAAAACAGACTCTCTCAGAGACTTTTAGAAATAACGGTTCAATAGATATCCCAGGTCCCTGTCAACCTGACACAAAATTATTTGTTCTAGATTCACCTCTTGTCAACTTGGTACCCACACATATGTCCTTAAATCATGTTTAATCTCCTTTTAAAGATAACAGTCATAATAATTTCAGCTACCATTATGCAAACAAAAAGCACATGAATGAACATACACCAACTTTGTCCCCAGAAGAAAAGGCAAAGCCCTTGAGGGATGGTTAGTGTTTTCCTTAAGTGCTAAAAACTTTAATCATAGGGGTTAAAATTGCCAATGTCTAAATATTTAATAAGGTCAATACAGCCTATGTAACATTATAAGGAAGTGAGAAAAATATGACAAATATGTCATAAATATACACATATTTTTATTTGTATACACATGAATATATTCCCAACAAAAAGAGGTGGAAAATTCCTAACAGTGGTATTCATCCTTTCTGAAAATGTTCATGTGGTCAAAACTAGTATTACTATCATTCCACGAATAGTCATTCCTTCTCCATTTTCCTTCAGCAAGCACCTCAACTACTCAAGGCTCTTCAACCCTTATGATATTTCAAATGTTCTTGTTTCATTGCTCTGGGCCATGGGCAGTTCCTTCTGGATTGGGTTATTGAAATAATAATTAACTCACATGAGATGCACATATTTTTTCTTATTATTTCTTATAAAATACAGTATAATAAGCAGTTATATAACATTCAACATGTTTCTTTAGCAATCTAGAGGTAGATCACAGCACACAAAACTTATGCAGAGGTTAAACTCAAATACTATGGCATTTTATGAGAGAGATTCAAATATTCATGATTTTTGTATCCATGGGAAAGTCCCTTGGCAGACACCAAGAATGACTTTCATAGAAAGTCACTAGGAGTCAATTAGCTCTGCTTACTTCACATATGTATTTCTTGCAATAATTAGTCTCCTTGTAAGTGTGCATGCTATATTACATTGTACATGTTTTATATAGTAATATATATTCTAGTAGTATCTGTTCAGTGAGTCACTTCACTATTCATAAAATCCATCATTTTTCATTTAGTAAATTCACAGAAAGAAATTGAATTTGGGGCAGGAAAGATTGCTCAGTGGTTAAGAACACTGTTCTTGCAGAAGACCCAGGTTTGAATCCCAGCATCCACATGGCAACTAACAACTGTCCATAACTCCAGTTCCAGGGGATCTGACAGCCTCTTCTGTCCTCTATGAGCATTGCATGACATGGGTGCACTTACTTACATGCAGGCATAACACTCACACAAATAAAATAAAATAAAAACAATAAATAAAATATTTTTTTTTAAAAAAAAGAAATTGAATTTGAGAATTTTCAGTTAGATACCAACTAGAGGTTACATAGAAAGAAGGGAGCCAATACCAAACACAAATACTAAAACAATTTAAGCCAGAGGAGGCTTAAATTGAAAAGAAAAGTTGCATGAGCATATGGAAAAATAGCCTTACAGACTCCTGGGACCTTGCTCATATGAACTTACAGCAATGTGTCAGCATGCACAAGACCCATGCAAACTCCATCTGACAAAAATCCAGCATAGAACTGGGGAAATGGATATTAGGGCCTAATCTTAGTCAAAGAACTATTGGCAGCTGATTACTGTTGGGTGAGGGAGGGTTGATATTCCCTAAGGGAGAGACTCTAAATAGGCTGATTAGACCCCAGTGCACTGAGGAACACCTAGGTACATCGACTTGACTCAATAGGTCTTAACATATATTACAGAATGCATGAAATTCAGTGGTGTGGGCTATGGTGGATCTGGAGAGGGAAGAGACATAAAGATGATTAAGATGTTTTGTATGAAATACATAAAAATTCAATAAAAATATACAAAAATATTTTATCAGTGTTAATTTATATAACATATGTGTTAATCACCTTTCTATTTGTGTAAAGAACCCTGAGAAAGTCATAAAAATTTTTGTTTTGACTTAATTTTATTCAGTTAAAAATGGTTGACAAGAAAGCATTCTCAAGTGAAACTGGTAGACTTTTCTAAAATATATTTAAACTATTCAGGCAAAGGAAAATCCTTTCAGCAGGCAAAGCTGAGTAGTGTACTTGGTTGAATGTTTTTCTCAGAAGGATAAAATTCAACTCATTTTGTTATATATAGATTAATGCTTAAATATTCAAATACATATGTTAAAGTTTAGAGAGTTTTGATACATATGTGAAAATAGTTACAAATCTGAGGGAAAGACATACTGGTATATTGCTACAAATAGTCAAAACCAGTAACTGATTTGTAGCCCAGGTGAATGATTTCCAAAGTGTGACATCAGTGGAGGAGAATTAACGATCAAACTAACTTTGGCCAGTGTTTTCCAAAAGGAACTAATAGAATACATACACATAAGTATAAATATATGAAAGGGATGCATTATGGGAATTGGAACATGCAAACCCAGAGGCTGAGAAGCACTACCGTTGGCTGTCTACTGACTGGATAATTCTGGAGATGGGTCATGTTAGTATGTATCAAGAATGAAGGCCTGAGAAATGGGGGACTCCACTGATTATGATTGCAGTCTCCAGAATCTTAAGAACACAGAATCTGGAGTTCTGATGTCCAAGTTCAAGAGAATATGAACATCCCAGATTCAGCTAAGAGAGTAAACTATTTTTTTTTTGCCATTTTGCTGTCTAGGTGCTCAGTAAAGTGGATGGTGCTCACAGATGGAATAAGAGGGACCTTTTTCTGTTTTATTTTGTTTGTTTTGTTTTGTTTTAAACATGGTTTCCCTGTAGCTGAACTGGAACTCACTATGCAGACCAGACTGGCCTTGATATCACAGAGATCTGCCTGTCTCAGTCTTCTGAATGATGGGATTAAAGACTTGTGCCACTGTGCCTGGTGAAGAGGGTCTTTTTTTGATCCAGATCTTTTATCTGAATCATCCACTGATTCAAGTGACAGTCTCTT